CTCTACTATTCTTTCTTTAAAAATAGGACCTTTCTTCAAAGTTGGGCTTAGGAATACTTCTCTTTCCAGTAGCTTTTCACTACAAGGATATTTGTGGTTATATTATGGTTTCTTATAGATCTGTTGACCTCAAAGTTTATATATTCAACATGGCCAATAGATCTTAAGGCTTCTCACGTTTATACAAGTCTAAGTCCTACATATTTGGACAAATTGTTAGACACACATAGCTTCCTCTGGTGGGGTAAAATTGGTCGTGTGTACTCTGACAATGAAGTCAATTGGGAAAGTAAATATATGAGTGTGGTTGGCTCTTCCTTTAGATATCAGCCTCTAATGTAAAAAGGGGTTGGCTTTGGAGACTGATAGATAAAATAGTGATATGACAAAGTTATAGTTTGAGATTCTGAGCTTGCATTACCTTGAAATGATACTAAGTGTAAGATTTTATAGCAGGAAAAGGTGAATAAGAGTCGTTGGATGATGATATACATGGCCTCATCCATGCGGTTGGTTTCTCTTGTCAAAGACATCAATCAATCATAAGCATTAAATGCTAATACCATTTAATCATCCATAATGCCTAGCTTGCGAGTTTTGACTTGACCTAATTGGCTGAAATGGCGACGACAGTAGTGGATTATCGCATCAATCATATACCAAGGATTGTTTGAAAGATCTTGGGGTAAACTCCTCTCGTGGCCTCCTCCTTAGTTCGGCTCAATTCTTCCCAATGAGGTCCATATAATCCAATAAGGCTGATAAACATATTGATTTAGCCACGTCAAGAGGATAAGTCAAAACTGCCTCATGGTAGTTTGACGAGAGTGTGGGGTCCCATTAATGAGGCATGTACTCTTTGTGAATATTTAGACATAGCATACTGTAAAATCCTGAAAAGGTTCGGGTATATGAAATAATGAAATTTGAGATATTGTGTCATTATAAGAAAGAAATTGAATCGAAAAGAAAAAGTTATTGACAACATTTTTTATATAATGTAAAACTTTGTTTTGAATGATAGCGAGTATATTGAAGAATGTTTGTCAAAAAATACCAACGTATAATTAACTAATCAAATAAAAGGATGCCATCCTAGCAAAATTGAACTTATTAGAGAAATTTGAAATTTTCGAACCTACGGTCCGATTACTTGAATTAAGGTCGTAACATGTAGTGCACAACTCTTAAGATAAATTTTGCGAAGAGTTGTATAAATACATAAATTATCTTATGGTGGATGCAATCATAAATCTATATTTTTTTATCCTTTCAATACATGAAATTTGATATGCATAAAATAAATGTGACTATAGTCAATTCATCTGGCATGACTATTAAGACTATCCCAAAAGGATTTAATATGCCTGAAACATATAATTCAAGTAATAGTGTCATGAGGGAAATAAATACGTGTTTTACTATTTTTCATTGACCAAAATTCTTTCCCATTCGATTCTCTTGACAAGGTTTTTTAATGAGACAATTTTTGTAACTTACTCAAAAGAATAATATATTCCTTTTCCTTCATTAGGATTTTTCTCACAAGATTTTTCCTAGTAAGGTTTTTACGACGAATATTCTTTGTGCAATGATATTCATAACCTACAAGACATTTCGATCAAAATAATATTTCTATATGTTATAGATTGTGCATGATTCTCGAAGAGATTAAAATAATAATATGTTTTCCAATAGATCCTTATGCAGAATAAAGACAAACAAAGATTGATAAATGTCATCTGTAAATGTATTGCTTGAAGGCTATGACAAGACAACACGAAACATATATTATCATAATTGCAATATTGAAGACATTGATGTACAAGACATGTATGGCTCGATACAACAATTTTATTTATTGAAATTTGGGGAGCAATTATACATTTTTGTCCTTAGCTCAAGTTTCGTCCCATCGAAATTTCTCAACAAGGTTTGAACGAGACAAATATTTTTTAATGAATTCAAGGGGAAGTGTTGTCAATAATATTTTTATTAATGAATGACAATTATACCGCTTCAACTCTAGTTATTATTACCTTGACATCATCGAAACATAATTATTGCATTAATGTTGATAATCTGCTGCATTTGGCAGGAATTATTTTTTAAGAACAATAATATTAGAGGTCATGGTTCAATCTCTATGATTAGCCTGATTATGATAACAAATTCAAAATTTGGATTTGAGTAATATGATGGGCGGGCATCAAGGTGAAGCTATGGCAGTGATCGAATCACACAAAAGGTAGAGTTATGGTGATCAAGTCTAATCGATTGTGTGACACAAAAGTGGAGTTACGGTGATCAAGTTAAAAAGATGTGGAGTTGTTGTGATCCATTCACGTAGAAGGCTGCCACTGCTGTTAAGGATTTTGAAATGGTTTTGTTGGATTTCGTAGTTAGTGATTAGAAGATTGTAGATTAAGGTACGAAGAAGTCAAATTTCAAAATCAACTTTATGATCTTTGAATTTCATGTGACTAATATAATTAACTGGGGGGCAAAGGCTACTAGTAATAAAGTGTTCAAAGATGCGTGTCAAGGCACACCATGGTTATTGAATTTGGATCAAGATTGTTGGTTTGACCCAAATTTGTGAAATGATAGAATTATTATTGGGCAAGAAAAATGGAATGGATATGAAAATTTCGAGTTAAATAAAGTAAATCAGTTTAAGGGACCTAAGTTGTAATTTTTGTAGTGCCACTAATTGTTGATGAAAATTGAGTAGCTGTAATTTTTGTTCATGATACAACGCGAAATAAGGAATTCAAGTGAAAACCTTAAGAATACAAAATTTAAAATCCACCAAATTATGAAGAAAATAAACTTACAAATTTTATTAATGAATGATGATAAAAAAAAAACAAAGAACAAAAAAAAAACCCATTTATAAGGGTTTACATGGAAACATAGTTTAAAACAACTAAAATTTATGAAAATAAAATTTAAACAAACTAAAATTGAAAAAAAAAATCCAAAATAAACTAAATGACAGAAGTAATGGCAAAGCTATAAAAATTAGTTTTCGAGTCCTAAATGAACTTGAATGGCTAAAATCCATCGTACGTCACGGCATAGCAGTGAGTATTGTTCGTTTTGTCCTCCTCATTTTGGAATGGTCTTATGGGTCCAATCTGGAATTTAAATGTTCTTCCTCCACTATTATATTTTTCCCATTATGTCTTATATCCCTCACTTCCACCTTCAAAGAACTCGAACCTAAGTTGTAATTTGGATATGAAGGCTTATCATCTTTATAACACTCCTACAAATCTCCCACATTGAACATTTGAGAAGTACCCATAAAATCTAGTAATGCAATAATGTAGGCATTGTTGTTAATTTGTTTAAGTAATTGGAAAGACCCATACTTTCTTGATTTCAGCTTGTTGTAGGTACTAGGGAGAAATCTCTCATTTCTCAAAAACACCATCACTAAGTCCCCTTCTTGAAATTGTTTATTCTGTCAATGCAAATTTGCTGCTAACTTATACTTCGCATTTGTTTTCTTCAACTTTTGTTTTACTTCATCACGGACTGTTAACACCTCTTCTACTAGATGTTCAGTAGCAACACTCTTATTATTGTTGTTGTCGATTTTATTTCGCAAGTGTACAAACCATAGGAAGTAATAATGGACCTAAAAGTCCGGGTTGTCGATCCCAGAAGGACTATTCCCTAGCAATTAATTCAATTTTTTCTTTGACTACTATTTGATGAAAAAAATTAAAAGTTGTGAGATTTGGGTTTTAATCTAAATTCTAGAAAATAAAAGGATGCATACATAATTTTTTGGAAAATCAAATAATGAATTGACGTTAGGGTAGAATAACTTCACATATTGTTCACCTTTACATCTTAAATTAAGACTCACTTCGAGTGCAGTGTTTGATCGAATTTTCCTCTTATATTCAATTTGCTCCTTTCGAGTTCTCATTGAGCCTATTCAACTAATTAAATTACATATCTCTATGAAAATTCAATTTAGTTAAACGAATTCTTTATCCTAGGAATTCAATTATTGACCACAACAATTAGTATAGGCATCTCTAGTCGTTACACCAATTTACCGAATTTTACTGCATAGTCTAAATCCTAAACTCATATCTCTATTTGCAAAGAATTCACAAAAATTATTGAATTATTGATCAGATAATTCAATGCATTCAATTCATAGCAAAATCAACACATGGAAAAATTTAAAACTAAGAATTTTAATAAGAGAATATAAAAGATCTCAATTGGTTATATTATTCTTCCTAACAATGGATTTAACTATTCATAATGAAAGAAGAAAAACAATCAATTATCTTAGAATATATCACCGAATTTGTAGTAAAGATAGGAGAAAAAGTAGAATTCTTGCGCCAAAATCTCCTTACTCTTCCAATTTATGCATTAAACCTTCAATCGCTTAATGTTTTCCACCTTTGAATTCCTATTTTGATTCTCCAATTATGTTATCTCTCCTCTAAATGTGTGAAGCCCCTTCAAAAGTTTGAGAAATCTCTATTTATAAGTGTCTCCTTTGTGTGTATAGAAAGTAGGGTTTTTATGGGCTTCAAAATGGCCCCAAAAATGCTCCTTAAACGACCCCGGTACAGCGCCTAAGTGCCGCGAACAAATCTAGGTAGCACCTAAGTTCTAATGGCATCGCCTAGAGGTATGATTGCAGGGCCTAGTCGCTGCCTCTTGGGTTCAATTTTCAATTTGTTTTATGTTTCATAACTCCTAGGCGCTGCCTTTCTATTCCAATTTCTTTATTTTCCGTAAAACTACTTCTAACTTTGTTTCCAAGGGTATGGATAGTAAACTCGATCTATCCATTCGTTTAAGGATGGGTAGTGTTGCTTCGATTCAAATTGGTTCCAAACAACTTTCACAAGGTAATCCAAAAGTGCCCCATAAATTTTATATCCCAATATGATATAATGGACTTGGAAACTCCATGAAATCTAACAATTTCACTGAAAAACAGTTTGGTAATATACAAATCATATGAAGTCTTCTGAGAAGCTATGAAGTGTGCCATTTTGGAGAACCTGTCAACCACCACAAAAATAGAATCTATACCCCCATTGAGTATGAGGTCATCCCAAAAAAATATTCATAGTCAGATCCTGCCATATGCCCTGAGGGATAGAAAGTGGAATGTATAACCCAGTATTCTACACTTGACCCTTTGAACACCTAACAAGTATAACATCTTCTGACTAAAACTCCAACATCTTTCAAGCACTCGAACCTAACAATTTCCTGTGATAATGTGATCAGTAAGGAAGCTCTCCAACTCAGTACATCTGCAACTTTGTTTGTACTTCCATATTTATGTTTAATCACAAAAGGAAAATTTTGGAGGAAAGTCACCAACCGAGCATGCATCGTGCTGATGTGTTTCTGACTATAAATGAATTTAAAGGCTTGGTGATCAATGAACAACATAAACTCATTCTGTACAAGATAATGTTCCCATAGCTTCAAAGCCCTCACCACTAAATAGAATTTCTGTACAAGATAATGTGCTCATAGTACTCGACTTCTATGTGGCATCACTTAACTTTTCTGAAAAGATAGTCATTGTCTCTTCTCTTGAGAAAGGACCACCCTAACACAAACACCGCTAGCATCATAACTCACCTCAAAGATTTTCTCAAGCTTGAAAATGCTAATACTAGAGTTGTACACAACTTTTCTTTGATGAAGGCAAAGCTCTGATCTTGTTCCTCTTCCCAGTTGAATCTTCCTACCTTCAAACATTCTATGAGAGATGCCACAATCGTGCTAAAATGCCTAATAAATTGTCTGTAGAAAGTTACCAAACCATGAAAACTCCTCATTTCAGAAACTGACTTTAGTGTTGACCAATCTCAAATTGCATTTGTCTTTTCTTCATCTACGTCCAAACAATCTTCACCAACCACAAAGCCTAAAAAATAGCTTATGTGTACAGAAAGTACATTTCTTCAAGTTGACATACAACTAATTTTTCTTCGAAACCTCTTGTCATGAGTGGATTAGGTGATCCTCTTTAGACTAGCTATAAATAAGGATATCATCAAAATAAACCACAATAAAATATCCAATAAAAGGATGAAGAACCTGGTTCATCATCCTCATGAAGGTACTTAGAGCATTTGAAAGTCTGAATGGCATCAACAACCATTCGTAAGAGCCACAGGTTTATCTCTCCATCGAATCAAATTGGCGGAAGGTTTGCGTTCATGAGCCCATGCTTCGAGCTCATATTAGTCATGGGTTGAGAATAGGAATTGAACTCTATGAGATCTAATCTACTCTAACCTCTGAGCTAAGCAGGCCCACATAATAGAAACTTTCTATCCATAGGAATTCAATAAAAAGTCCTCTTTGTCACTCGACTTGTGCGGGTCACTACCACTCTGTACGTCCATCCTTACTTTTGAAAGAAGTCTTCCATTTATCCCTGGGTTTAATATGGATCTAGTGATAACCACTAGGAAGATCTATTTTGAAAAGACATTAGAACTCCCAAGCATATCTGACATGTCCTCCGACCGTAGAATGTAAAACCTATGCTTTACTATTATCTTGTTTATGTCAAGACCGTCAACATACATACGCCATTTTCCATCCTTCTTTGACACTAGAAGAACAGGCACTGCACACGAACTCACACTCTCCCTTATGAACCCTTTTCTCAACTGATCGTCAATTTGCTCTTTATAATCTTATTCTCCTTTGGACTCATTCAGTATGAGGTAAATTTGGAAGGCGAGCCCCTGGTACTAAATCAATATGTGCTGAATATTCCTTATAGGAGGTAACTCATTCAGCAATTCACCGAAAGCCAAATCTTCAAATTCTATCAATGTTGATTGCAACTTAGACAGAACACCAGTATCTTCCTTATTTGCTGTAAAAAGCCCATTAACTACAACTGGATAAAAGTAATCAAATTCTTTTACAGACTCTGTAATTTCCTTCTCATTATTTGTAAGGATAAGGAAACTCTCAGTTTGTTGATGAGTAGACTTCTTCGCTTGTTTGAGAGGAACCATAGTAATTTTATGATTGCCCCATGAAAAGAGTACCACATTATCTCACCCTTTGCGAGTTGAATCTAGATCAAACTACAATGGATGACTCAATAGAATATGATAAGCATCCATGTTATGACATCACAGATAATTTTATCCTTATAATGTTTACCAATGGAAATAGGTACTTTGCAAGTTTCAGCAACTTGAACAGTAGGGCCTCTCTTTACCCAACCAAGTAAATAAGATTTAGGATGGTTCTCAACTTATAGTTTCAACAAATTCACCAATCTCTTTGACACCGTTCTTACAACTTCCATTGTTCACGATCATTTCACACACTTCATTCTAGATAGAATGAAGTGAACGGAAGATGCAATGATGTTATCCCTCTTCTTTTGAGGACAAAAAGAGTTATTGTTTTACCAAAGTGTGCCTTTCTAGTTTTTCCTCCACAAAAAACTTTGCTCCTACATACTCATCTTCCACTTCAGTATCTTTTTCCTCGTTTACTGCCTCTGGTTCACCAAATTGACCCGCTTCATCTCAAAATAATTATTAGAAAGATGCCTAGTCTTTTAGCATCTATAACAAATTTCTCTAGTGAGCTTAGCATACAAATTTGCATTCCCAAACTGACCACTATTGTCAACCTTACGAATTTGCACATGGATTTGCGCCTCGAATCTGGCCTCTATTCCCAAACCAACCACTGTTTTCAACCTTATTCTTGTTAGGATTGATTGAAGCTTGTTGTGGGGCCTTTCCTTTGTTTAAAGGGGCGGATGGTGACGTTTCAACAGGTAAGGGCCTCCTATATGAAATCATACTCTTGTCATATTCCATCATTTCCTCTTTCGTTTCCATTTTAATGGCTTTTCGCAATGTCCACATATTCTGCAACCCAATTGTATCTTGAATGGCCACCTTCAAACCACCGATATACCTAGCTACCCTTTGATTTTCAGATTTTGACAAATTATTCTGCTCTGCTAATCGCATAAATTCATTAGTGTAGCTGACACAGTACGATTACCCTATGTGCATCCCAGGTACATACAATATAAAGTTTGTTCATAATCTCTAGGTAAAAATTGATCCATCAAAGACTACTTCATCTTTCTCCAAGTCCGAATCCAACTCTTTCTCTATCTCTTTTAAGCATTCAATAATTGATCACACCATATTGCTATCACAGATTTCAAAGAAATGCCACCATTTTGATCATCTTGTCCTTTGAAACATCCATAATTTCATAGAATCTTTCAATCTCTACCAATCAATCCAAGAAGTCCTCAATCTTCATGTTCCCAAAGAATGGAGGAATGCCTACTTTAATTCAATAATCATCAAAGGTATTTCGATTTTGATGATTAGGATGATACAACAGTGCTTCGAACTTCGCCTCTGATTCACTGTCTTCTACTGTACGTCTCCTATTAAATTCTCTTCAAACTACAAGCTCAGCTATCCGTTCATTGTTGATTGCCCACTGTTCATTTTGTCAATTGTTTCCAGCACTCTGCAGAAGCAATTGACGAATCTCTTCGATCTGAGTAGTAAGATGGTCAATTCGTTCGTCAATTTGTTGCATCTAAATCTATCCTATTAAATGGTATGTCACCCATGTTATGAATCAAACATATAGAGAGGGAAAGCCGATTCTAGACGCAATGCAAAATAAGAAATTAATGTGAAAACCTTAAGAATATGAAATTTCGAATCCACAAAATTATGAAGGAAATAAACTCACAAATTTTATTAGTGAATGATGATTTAAAAAAAAAGAAATAATCCCCCTATTTATAAGGGTTTAATAGACATGTAGTTTAAAATAACTAAAATTAATGAAAACAACAAACTAAAATTGAAAAAAGAAATATCTAAAATAAACTAAATGACAAAAACAATGTCAAAACTTTAAAAATCAGTTTTCGAGTCATAAAAGAACTCGAATGGCCAAAATTCATTGTACGTCAAGCAGTGAGTATTGTTCGTCTCATCGTCCTCTTTTCGGAATGGTCTTATAGGCCAAATTCGGAATTCAGATGTTTTCCCTCTACTATTACATTTTTCCATTATGTCCTACATCAGTTCAAAAGAAAAGCTTTTTTTACTAATGAACATACAATAATTTGGATACCGGGGACTTAATTAAGAAATTGGAATTAGAATTTTCAACAAGATTTTGTCGTGGGAGAGAGGTTATGTTGAACGAAAATGGAAACAAGAAATGAAATAGGACATTATATGATATGATACGATACGATACGGGAAAACGTCATTTCTTTAAAAATAAAAATTAAAAAAAGAAGTAAGGCACGACATGTTGCAGAAAAGTTATATTAAAATTATTAACTCAATTTAATAAATTCAATATTCAACTTCAGAAAGCTCTATAATATAACTAAATAACAAAAGTTTCACAATCTATCTAATTTAACTAAGATCATGACATAAAAACATTGTCATCTAAAAAGTCAAAACAATTATTGATAATGAATCAATACTCAACTAAAACAATTCATAAATTCTCAAGTCAAATTGCCTTAGCTGCATCATCCCCATCAATATCTATAACACTATCACTAACATCATTGAATAACAAGGCCTCCATCTCTGGGTCGTCTAACGAAAGATTTGCAATATCAAGCGTTCCAACATGTTCAAACAGTCAAATTGATGCCCTACTATATTCCACATTTTAGTTTTCTCAACATAGTATTGTGGGCTTCTTGTTTATAATAGACATAGATTGCTATAAACAAAAACCAAATCTTTAGCATGTTTTAGGATTTAACCTATTTCTATTAATTGAATGAACAAAAGAATATGTACTCCAGTTTCGTTCACAACATGACAAAGAACTAGTTTGTCCGATAACTCAAAAGTTACACTTTGAAGTAAAGGTGCACTTGAACCATGAGTAGCCTACCAACCTTTTGCATCCATAATGTCCCTCTTCAACCAAAGTCACATAAAATTTAAATTGGCATGTTTAAAGTACTGATTAAATAGCTAAATATTAAAATAGAAACAAACAAATATAAATATATTTTTGAAATTTATATATCAGCAAGATAATCAAACAACTTGTTTATGTAATTTAATGATTAAAAATATATTCAATTATATGGTGAATTACCTACTTTACTCCAAGTGGGAATAATTGCTCTATGCACATCTACTATTTTATTCAACGTCTCAAGACTCTCGACAAACATTCATTGTTTGATAAAGGCGGTACAATAATTAAAACATTTAGGTTTATGTTAAAATCTAGCATTATAATGCTTTTACATAATAAATGAAGCCTATAATTTAAGTTACTTTTAAGCCTAACCCCAAAACTATGTTTAACTTTTGATTAGGGCTCCTGATTAAGGTTTTTTTTTTGTCAAAATTCTGATTTTTTTTTATGCAAAGTTTTCTGAAAGTTTCCATGGAGTTTTTGAATTTCATTAAAAAAGATAATTTTTTTTTCGAGCTTTCAAAACGCTTTTGGGAAAACTAGTTTTTGTTTCAGAAACGTTTTTGAAATGGAAAGCTAGCATGTAGAGAGTGTGGAGTTGTGTTTCTCAAACCACACTTTCATAAGTGAAAATGCGATTTGTCCCACTTGTACTCCTATGGATAGTTGGCTCTTGGGCATTGGCTAATACATGGTCACTCGAGTTGTGCTTTCTCTTGACCATTGTGGACCATTGATCTAATCCTAAGGCTGAGATTTAGTCGTCCAAAATTAATGCCTTTGGAGACTTTTGCGGCATTGGGTCTTTCATCAGTCGGTCTTTTTTTCAAGGATAGTCTCTTGTGTAGTAACCCAAATTTTCATAGAATAAAATTTGATTTATGTACGCTAAGTTTTAATATTTTAAAACTTTAGGGACTAAAATATATACAAAGTAAAATTGAATTTTATTTGGGTTAAAATGTAGATATTGACGGAGCGACAATAAGTATATGAATATTGGTCTCGTTGGAAAGCTCGTATTTAATCATGCATGTTAGGCTCGAGAAAAAGTGAATTTGGAATAATGGAGCTTAAATTATTGAGGTCGAAAGATTTAGCCATAAAATATTATTATGATTATGATTATTATTATTATTATTATTTTTAATTTGAGTATCTATTGTATTTAGAGGA